TCCACACACCTGAAAGCTGCCAGGGTTGAGAAACACTGTTCTACAGCTTCCCACTCAGTCTCCCCCAAGATTAATGATTTCACAGGTGGTTTAGAATGTAACCCTCTTGAGTCCAGATAGACAGAGAGAGGGAGGGATGCGGGGGCGTTCACAGGAACAGTAAAAAAAGTCAAGATGGCAGCCATAGCAGTGCAATCGAAGCCCCTCCTGGCTTTGATGAATGGATGTGAGATGTGCATCAAAAACGGGCTGAGTTTTGATCACAGTCACCATCTTGACTTTTTTTGACACACCCTCCAGATACTCCTGGGTGGAGTAAGGTCGATGTCCCCAACTGGAGCGTACCAGAACACCTGAATAAGAACCCTGTTGGCTGTGCTGGCTGTGGAGGATGGGAGTTGTACTCCAGGCTGTCTGGATCATCTCAGGTTGGGGAAGACTCCCCTAAGGCAGGCGGGTGTGGAGCAGATGATGTTTGATATAAGTAAAAATAAATCCGGAAAAAGAAGCCGTTACCAGCATCATCTGATTCTGCTCTTTCTCTCCTGTCTTGGTAGTACAAGATGGCTTTGTGTTCCAGAAATGTGGTGCAGATGGGCAGTGGGTGATAGACGCATCAGGACTGCCATGGCGCGATCATTCCCAGTGCGTGGGCCTCAACAACGATCTCCCTTTCCAGGTAAAATCTATTAGGTAAGGGCTGTGGGTCTGGTGCTGGTACATTTGGAGACAGATTGCTTGATGTTCAAGTCGTCCGTAATTATAATCCCTTTCAAGACTAACTTAATCAAAGATGGGTAGAAACTTCCTAAGAACATGAATAAAATTATGCTCGAGAAGAGCACTCTTTGATCCATAGGGTGGCAAATAGAAGAGTATTTCACTATTTTGAAAAGGTGCCTATCTAGGAAGTTTTGCTAATGACAGTATCTTTTCATTTAAATGCATTTAATTTCATGACGTGATTTATGGATGAAAAGAACTTAAGTCACTGGGTGGGTTTATTTCCATGTTGTCTTTATGTAACAAAATACCTGATGATTTTTGAAACACGATTGAAACACATTACCGCCTTTGACCATTGAACACTGGCAAAATCTATAGATAATATAGAGAGAGAGCCCTACATAATGCAAGCCCCATTAAATTCAGTAAAGGTATATATGCTAAGACTGTAGGCATGGATATTCTGGTTGAGATTGGCAAGGAAATTCTTGTCTGAAAACCCTCTCTTGCTAATAATCCAAGAGGGATCTATACATTCACATCCTTCTTATGGGGGTGCTGTTTTTAGCTGTAGGCATCCCTGAATTTCTCCTCTCTTTCAGAAACATTTGTGGATTCTGGAACAATTCCGACTAATGTATACCGTGGGCTACTCCGTCTCCCTAATGGCTCTCCTTGTGGCCTTGGCACTCTTGGCAGCATTCAGGTATGGAGAAGCTGAATCAGAAGGGCGGTGCCCCGACTCTGAAATATTAGCTATTTTGGAAGAGAGACTGGGGAGGGCAGGAGGGGCTCAATTAATCACCAAATCCAGTTTGGCCAATTGAGTTCATTCCTGTAACCTTGATGTAGACATTATACAAGGAGGGTCCTGTTAGTGTATGTTGACAAAAGATCAGGAGTCTGGTAGAAGTTGGTGCTACCAGATTCCTGATCTTTTAACCATGGTGTTTCTTGCAAAGAAATTCTGGACTCAAATACAAACCTTGATGCCGAGCATACTACAAATACAGATTCCATTTAAACCAGAATTATTCCTGCTGGGGATAATACAAATTCAATACAAATAATGGATTTTCAAATAGGAAAACATCTTATTAGAATTACTCAATACACGATTATCGCAGCAAGACTTCTTTATGCACAATTTTGGAAAACCCAGACACTACCAACAATA